GTGGCCTTGTGGCACGTGGGGGGGGGTCCCTTTCGCTGGCGTTCGCCTTCGGGCCTGCGCCTGCTGTCGCCCCCATGTGCGGCGCCCCCTTTGGCCAGCGCAAGTCTCTCTCCGTTTCCTAGGGTACCACTGGTTGTGCCGGGCGCGCGTACGCTCTGCGGCACAACTTCCATAGCCGGAGCGCGAGCTGCTTTGCTAGTGTCGCCCTGGACGCCCGGCGAGGGCGCCTGGGGTTCGCCGTCCGCATGGAGCTCACTGGCAGGGGAAGGGGCGCGAATAGGTGCAAAGGGGTTTCTCCCGACGAGCCAGCGGATGGCTTCGCTGTCCTGCGTCTGGATGGTTGTTCCGCGGTCTCCCGGCTGGGCGCGCGGCACTCCCAGAGGACTGCTGACGCGCTGGTTGCACTGAGGGGAAATTCCGCGGCTTCCGCAGCCCCCGCCGTCTCCGCCGCGACTTCCGCTCCATTCCTCTGTCCTGCTGGCACAGAGGACTGCTGACGGACTGCTTGTCCAGAGGGGGGTACTCCGCGGCTTCCGCAGCCTCCGCCGACTCCGCCGTGACTTCCCGCTCCTTTCCTCTGGCCTGCTAGTACAGCTGAAGGGGAGGGTCGTTCGTGCGAGCTGTACACTGGTCACTGCAGGCTACCTCCTCTCGATTCCCCACTGCGACGTCGTCGTCTGACCACGAAGCGGGGGGTGGCATCGTGACCTCTGCCTCAACCACCTCTCGATTCCCCTCTGGGACGTCATCCTGTGTCGACGAAACGGGGGGTGGCACGTTGCCGCTGCTGCTGCTATGCTCAGATATGTCGTTGTGCATGGCAGGATCCCCGGGATGGTCGACTGTCGTCGTCACGGGGCGTTGTGGTGGTCCGTGCTCAGGGCGGCCGTCGGGGACGGGGCTGGGGCTCGAGACGCAACGATTTGCATCTGGCCTAACGGGCCCCATTTCACTTCTGGGAATCGGTACACTCGAAGCCGCGCTCCCTTCTGGCCTAACGGGCTCCGTTTCAGTCGTGGCCGAATCCTCCAGATGGTCGTCCGTCGTCCTGGTCACCACGGCTGGAGCCGCCTCGAAATGTTCCAGGTCCCGTAAGGCTGGTGCTGCAGCAGCTGCTGCGGCTGCTGTGGTGCTGCAGCGGGTCGGCGTAGTCGTCGTCGGCGTCTTCGTCGTCGTCGTCGCCGTCGGCGTCGGCGTCGGCGTCGGCGTCGGCGTCGGCTTCGGCGTCAGCCTCGGCTTCGGCATCGGCCTCGACGTCGTCGTCGGCCGCGGCCGCCGCGGCGGGCCCAAGCCCGCGCGGGCCACGGCGGCCGCGGCGCCGGCCGCGTGGCCCGCGGCCGCGGCGGCGGCCGCCTCCGCCACGGCCGCAGCGGCGGCGGCGGCGGCGGCCGCCGCGGCGCCGGCGGCCGCAGGGGCGGCGGCGGCGGGAGGCGGCCGCGGGGGCGGCGGCGCCAGCGGCGCCAGCCGCACCGGATGGCGCGGCACTTGAAATTTCAGCGAGTGGGCCTGTGTCCCGCTCCCTTCTGTCAGAACGCAGCAGTCCTTTTTCTAGCTCCAATCGCATACTCTCCACGAGCTGCTCCGAGACCGCGGCGCCACGGAGAGGCTCCGCAGCGGCTCGTCGGGCAGCCAGATTCGCAGCGCGCTGGCGGCGTCGTCGTGAGCTCACGGACTCGCTCCAGTGCCACGCCCAGTGCCGGTGCCAGGCCCAGGACGTGCCCCAAAGTCCTCGCCCTCGACGGCGACACTGGCCGCCTGCAAGCTCTGGGGGCCGCGTCGCAGACCGCAGGCCCGCAGCAGCGCCAGAAACACTGCGTCCGCCAGCGGCATCAGGGCCTGCGGCGGGAACGCGTCCTCGGTCCTCGTCTGGCAGCGGGTCTCGCCAGCCGCCATGCCAGCTCGAGGCGGAGGCAGGCACCCCTCCCGCCGGCCGTCCGCCACATCGGGGGCCCGCGGCCATCCAGAGGGGGGATCAGGAAAGGAGGGAGAAAGAAGAAGTAAGAATGGCCTCCTGGCGGCCGGCGGCTTGACCCAGAGCGGCTTGAGCCAAGGGGGCTTGAGCCAGACTACGGAACTGGTGGGGTTACGCGAAGCGTGTAGAATTGATTAACCCAAAAATGGCCCCTGACCCTTTGAATTAGGTCGGGCATGTCCCCCTACAGACGGATTTTGGATGAAAAATGAATATGAATCAACAAATGTTCCCAAAATGGTGAGAACTGGTCGGAAGATCGTCCCCTGGCTATGTTTGGACTATATTGGAATATTCCTCCTGTAGAACGACACGCCCGACTTACCTTTAGGAGGAAACCTGAGTTGGGAGGGCCAAGAACATTAGGGAGAGGGGCTTTCTTCCTGCAGATGTATCGAACCAAACCGCCCAGAATTGCTGCACCTGATGCGAAGACGGGGACCTCAGTGAGGACACGTCTTCGGTGTTTATTAGGGTTAGGGGTTCTGCTAGCCTCGACTAGTAATGTCGACATCTGCCAGATCCAGGACAAGAAGTGCCTGGGACGTTGAAGCTTCCTGGTAAACATTTTGTGGTTTCAAAGCGTTCATTTGAGTCGCTATAGTAGAGCCTCGATCAGCGAGTTGTTCCATGACCGTGCCGAATCCACGTCGAACGTCGAATCCGCGTCGAATCCACGTCAAACCTGCACTGAACCCGCGTCGAATACGCGCCAGACGGAAGAAAGAAAGGTTGCCGAAAGGTCCCCCGAAGATGCGACGCAGCCACCGGAACTGCGCAAACGGCACAAAATGATGTGGGCGCTCCTCCAACCTCGAACGGTGGCAACTTTCCAGTAGCGCTGATAGCTCGATGTTGTTGGCGGCGCGCACAAGGGGGTGGAGGGAGGGGGGAGGGTTTCTTAGAAAGAGGCTGCTTCTTAGAAGGCGCCGGCCTTACATCTATAGATAAGGTCCGCGCCTTCTAAGAAGCAGGGGTGCTTCTAAGAAGCCCTCCCCCCTCCCCCCACCCCCCTCTGCGCGTGGCTGACGATGTTGGCCGAATTCACAGCCACCTGCGGCGCTCAGTCCTGCACGCTCGCGCTGTGGCGTCGCCACCAACGTGGCGCGACCCTGCCAGTAACAATTTTGCGATCGCCGGTTTGCCCACGATCGGGGACGCGCTAACCCAGGGCAGCGCGCTGACCCAGGTCAGCTAGGGCCCAGTCGCCGCCAACCCTGGCCTGCCGCAGCTCCCAGACTCAGGTCGGGCATGTCCTCCGACAGGGGGATCTTGGACGAAAATTTTTAAAACAGTCCCAACAGATCCAACAAAACGATCAGAAACAGTGGAAACATCGTCCCCAGACTATTGCTTGACTACTCTCGAAGGCTCCTCCTGCAGAGAGGGACACGCCCGACTGAACGCCAGGGCCCCGTCGCCTCACCCTGGCCTGCCGCAGGGCAGAGCTCCCGGACCTGGGCGTCGGCGGCATGGTCAGACCCCCGCGTGGCTCCCGGGCCTGGGTCGACCCAGTGGGGATCCAGAGGGTCGGGTGCTCGCTCTGGGAGAACAAATCATTAGAGGAAAGAGAACTATGCACATACACCGATTCTTGCCAGGCCCATGAGCCCAGGATCGGTGCATGTGCCCTCCTGCCGTGGCCAGGAAAGCATATGCACCGATCCTGAGTCAAGGATGGGCCTTGCCAGGATCGGTGCATGTGCATAGCTCTCTTCGCCCGAACAATGGCAAAAGCCTGGCGCGCGAAGCGCGCGGAGCGCGCAAGGGGCGGCGCCGGAGGCGCCGCCAGGGGGGGTCCAGTGCAGATCCGAGGAATCCGCGCGGACCTCCGAGTTTTTGTTTATGTCATTGTTTCTTCCCCTATTCCTGGAACCACCCGCTCCACTCACGCGCCGATGCTGCGTCGAACGTCCCTCGGCCTGAGTCGAACCTGAGCCGAGCCAGCGTCGAGCTGCAGCCGCAGAGGGAAACGAACCAGAGCCGAACAGCTCCGTCGGGTGGGCCCCGGGAGGGCCCCCGAAACGAGCACTCGACATGGGCACTGGCTGGCCCCCGTCGGCGCCCGCCAGAGCCGAGCCGCGCTTGCCCCCCCCCCCCCCCCCCGGCTCCCGGGGCCCCCGCCTGCAGGTAGTCGGGCCCCGCGCGCGTCGCCATGCGCGGCCTCCTCGAGCCGTGCCGGCAGCGCGTGCCCCTCGGCGGGCCACACGCCTGGGCCCCCCCCCCCACCCCCCTTCCGGCGCTCCTCCCGCGCGGCCTCTCGCGAGGAGCGCGCGCCGCCGCCGTGCCACGGCGGCGGCTCTTCCTGGTGGCCTGGCGGCGCCCCGAGGTGGCCCCGCTGCAGCTGGCTCCGCTGCTGCAGGGGGTGGGCGGAAGAGGGGGGAGGGAGGGCCTGGGCGGGGCGATGCCGTCGCCCTCCCTCCTCCCCCCTCCCTCCCTCATCCCTCCCTGCCTCCTCCCACCTCCTCACTTCTCCCTCCCCATCCCTTCTCCTCTTTCCCACCCCCTTCCTGCCTCCTCCACCTCACTCCGACACCTCCTCTCTCCTCCTGCTCCTCCCTCTTCCGTCTCCTCGCAAAGCGGCTTCCTTCAAACGACAGGGTCCTCGCGATCAGACAGACGGTGCAACAAGGCACCGCTCAGCACGAAGAGCTACCCTTCACGGCGGAGGACACGATCAGCCGCTGGCGGCTCGAAGAAAGGGGGTGGTAAAGGAGGCCTGCAAGGGGGCCATGGACCCCAACGCCGTCGACCTTGCAGTCACTTCGCCACGTCTGACTATCGCGTGCAGTGCGCTTCGTATGAACAGAAGCTGATGGATAAGATGAGAGGCAGGATAAGGATGAAGAGACCGAGGGCAAGGCAACAGTCAGGCTGTGGAGATCAGGATACCGAGGCCGAGGAGAGCGAGAGCGGGAGCGCAGGGAGAGAATACTACGTAGTCAACCTGTCGATGGAAGAAGCGCGAAGAACACTGCGAGAGGAACGATGCCTTCGTCGCGGTGCTCGGGTTAAGTCACGGCTCATCTTACCCAGAAGCGAGGCGCCTCCACAAAAAGTCGTACTCCAAGGCCCGCAGAAAAGCCCGACCTCCGATCGAAGCAGCGCCAGAATGTCCTCCTTCCGCGGACTCAAACAAATACGCGTCGCACAAGCCAGGCAGTTCCTCCTGAAGGCGGCGCACCATCTTCCTCGCATGGCAAGGGTGTACCCGGTCATCGCGGGTGGAAGTCGTGAACAGCACTGGCGGCAGCTTCTGGCCGTGTGCACAGTCGGCCAACAGGTGATACGGCGAGATGCGCCGCAGCTCTGCCCACTCTGAGGGCTTGTCGGGGTCGCCGTACTCCTCCATCCAGCCCGCGCCTGCGAGAAGCCTGTGGTAAATCTTCATGTCCAGCAGGGGAACCTCTCTGGTCGACCCAAAAGGGGGTCCAGCTGCAAGGGGGTGGTGCAATAGATTTGGGGCAATTGTATTGCAAATGTATTGCGCCGGAGAATTGTATTGCACTGTATCGCAAGTATTGCACAGCACGCGAAAATACCAGCAATGCATCTGCGACCCAGAATGCACTGCGCACGCCCCAAATGTATTGCAGCCCCACAGATCTATTGCACCAAACCTATTGCACCGCCCCCTTGTCTCGGAGGTGACGATGGGGGCGAATAGCGCAGGGGCGGGCGCTGCACGCATCCGCCCGGGAGCCTCTCCGAAGGCACGGATCAGCGGCACCCCTGGATACATGCGTTGCTCCCCCCTGGGCTACTCGCCCCTGTCGCCGTCTCCGACTGCCACTGGACCCCCTCCTGGGTCCACCCGAGGACCTCGGCCACCAGCGCCCCGAAGCGCTCGGGCGAGCGCGCGAGCATGTTGCCCACCAGGAGCCCGCCGTTCGACCGCCCGAAGAGCCCGCGGCGCCGAGGCGCCGCGAGGCCCCGGCGGCGGAGGTCGTCCGCCACGGCCTCGAGGTCCTCGTAGGCCCGCAGCCGCCCTCCCTGCTCGGGGGCGCCCAGGAGGGGGGCGCCCAGGGGGGGGGGGGGGGGCACAGACCATGGCACGAGGCATGTGCGCGGACCAGCGGTGGAGGGGCCCGGGAACGCCCGGAAACAAGGCGAGGGGCCCCGAGATCTGGGGAGGCGTCATGGCCCCCGCCACGATATCCACGCACCCCCCCTAGTCACCACCACCCTCTTTGTCGCCCCCGACCTTCCGGGCCGCGCGGCTCCAGGCTGGGCCGAACTCGCCGCCGCCGCGGATGTTTGCCTCGACGTACGCGCCGCCCCTCTCCTAGGGGAACGACGAATGGCATAAGCATAAAAGTTCGGAGGTCCGCGCGGATTCCTCGGATCGGCGCTGGACACCCCTCAGTGGCGCACGGAGCGCGCCAGGGGCGGCGCCGGAGGCGCCGCCAGGGGGGTCCACGCGGACCTCCGAGTTTTTATGTTTATGTCATTGTTCGCTCCCGTATCTCCAGCCAAGCGACCCCCACGGAGCCCTGGTACCTGGGCAGGACGGGGAGGTCGAAGCCGCCGTACGCGTAGAGCAGCGTGGGGCCACCCGCCGACGCGTGCCCAGGGCCTCGCGTCACGAAGTAGGGCACCTGGGTGCCGTCCCTCGAAGTGGCCTCGAGCTGCGTCGTGGTCATGCCCGAGGCCTCGAACTGAGGCCACAACTGCTTCACCCTTCGCATGAGGCGTGCAGGCTCCCCTGCTGCTGGCGGCTCGCTGCCGGAGGAGCCCCAGGGGCACCCCGCGGCCGCCCAGGCTCCCACGTCCTGCACGAGGAACAGCGCGGGCGGCTCCGTGTAGGAAGCCCGGCCGACCCAGAGCGCGTTCGAGCCGCGGGGGTCAACCGGCCGCACACTCAAGCTGGCGATGGCGCCACCTCCAGCCTCGCACGGAGTCACTCGGTCCCACGACCCGCCTCGAGCTTCGGGATACCTGAAAACTACCAGGCTCGAGCGGACCCTAGAGAGCACGACGAGGACCAAGAAGTCGCGTGTGGCCGCCACGTGCTGCAGCATGGTCGAGCGCGGGGTCCCCCGCCCTGGCTCGGCGCCCGGTGCCTGCTCGTCCTGGGGCTCCCAGAGGGGCGCCCAGCAGCCCTGCTCTCCGGCCAGTGCCTCTCGGGCGGGCGCCGCTAGCAGCGAGCCAGCACGGAAGGGGCGGGGTGCTCCTGGCACCGAGAAGTCGCTCCCCAGCCTCAGCAGTATGTGTTCGCCGAAGAAGAGCAGCTCGGCGTCTGCTGGAGCAGGAAGCCTTGAGAAAGATCTCCCCTGGTCGAGGCTGATGCGGCGCTCCGCCTCGTAGAAGCTGACGGCGCGACAGACCACTTCGAAATTGCTGCCACCGCGCTCACGCACTGCGTAGCCGAAAACAATGCGGTCCTCCGATTCGCCTGTGAATGTCACTTTCGCAGCTGCCAACGGTGTCCCACGTTGCCAAGCCCGCACCACTCGAGGGTTGCCACAATCAGTGACCGAATCCGCAAGACCCACACTCACCAGGAGAACGTCACGTGAGCGGTAGCACAGCACCATCTTTGCCTCTGGGATAACGATAGTGGAACGAAGAACAACGTCAACATAACAACTCGGAGGGCCGCGCGGATTTCTCGGATCCGCGCTGGACCCCCCTGGAAGCGCCTCCAGCGCCGCCCCTGGCGCGCTCCGTGCGCCAGAGAGGGGCGTCCAACGCGAATCCGAGAAATCCGCACGGACCTCCGAGTTCTTATGTTTATATCACTCTTCGTTCCCCTAAACGAAACCTCCCTCCTCGGGAGGCACAAACGCCTTCTCCTCCAGGTCGAACTCCCTCGCAACGACTGCATCCGCACCGCCGCGGGAGAGCTGCAGCATGGCCCGCCGGGTGTCCGGCCCCTCGTCAAGAAGCGCATACCCTCGCCAGACCCAGCTCTCCCCCTCGGCGCTGCCTAGTTTTAGGTCGGGCTTGTCCCCCTACAGGCAGATTCTGGAGGACAACAAAAAACAAGTTCCAATAGAAAAAACAAAATGAACAACAGATCGTCCCCTGACGGTTTTTCTTACTACGTTTGACATTCCTCCTGTAGAGGGACGGACACGCCCGGCTTCAGCCTAGCTCGTCCAAGCTGAGGATGACCTCCCACGACGGCTCGGATTTCGTGAACTCCGCCAGGGTGGCGCGGCGCCAGACCCCCCGCGGGAAGCGGGCGTCCGACCAGAAGTCGTAGTACAGGTCCCCGATCTTCGTCACCTGCGGCAGCTTGCGCAGCGGATCCTCTCCCACGTCGGTGGTCTCTGTGTCGAGGAGTCGGTTGAAGAGGATGCCAGAGCGAGGATCACCGATCGCCTGCAGCGTGGCGTTGTTCTGGGCCTCCACCCACGCGAGGGCCTGCGGAGAGTCTACCTGCTCCAGCCACCTGTGCGGGTCCTCCACGGCTCGTGCCGCAATACTGCCCTCCGTCTGCGTTCTGCAAGGCGAGCCCTTGGTCAGAAGGTGTGCTGTAGGGCGAACGCTGCCAGGCCAACTTCGAGAGTAAGCCAAACGGCCTGGCCAGAGCAGAGCTGGTGGCGATCGTGCCGAAAGAATCACCAACACCACCGCAAGCTGGCATAGCAACAAACGCCTCCATTGGCATGGACGCTTGGCAACACGGCCCGCAGGAACGACCAGGCATTGAGTTTGCGTTTGCCACACCTGCAGCGGCACAAGCTGCATGGGAGCCTTGCCATCGCGAGGCATCAAGACAAACTGCGTATATGTGCAGATAAACCGAGATGGCTTAAATCAGGAAGTGGAGTCACAGGGGAGAGGAGAAGACTGGGAGGTGAAAGAATGCGAGAATGGAGGGAAGGGAGGGGAAGTGAAAAGGTGAAGAGAGGGGCATGGGAAAACACTACATGCTCGTGCATATCCACAAATAGAAACACATGCATAGATGAACAGATGCGTGTCGGTGGATACCTCTGCACATGTTCGCACTTGCATGTGATTGAGCATGATGGATGCGTATCAGAGCGGATCGAACTGTTGCGTCTGCACGTTGCTGCAAGTTTCTGCATGCGCCTGCATGCGTATGCGCGTGTGCGTATGTCTGAGCAAAATGCACTGATGTGCGAAAGTATACGTGCGAGTAGTCGTGCGAGTACTCGTGCGAGTATTCGTGCGAGTGTGCGAGTGAGTGTGTATGCGCCTGCGCTCCTGTCTAAGCCTGCCCTTGTGTGCCTTCGAATGCGAAAATCCTGCGGCTATAGCGTTGTAATCGTAAGACCCATCACAGCGATTATTTCAGTCGGCATGTAGACGCGTGCGCAAGACTAGCTGCCTATGATGTGATATGGCCCTGTAAGCTGTACGTGCAAGTCTACCTAGATTGTTCTGGAACGATGCTTGCAAGGGGTTGTTACTTGTTGCTCAAAAAAACTGGGCCTGGTTGCCCGTCAGGCGGTTCCGTGGTCGCCGTCGCTGCCCCATCGCCGCTTCGTCGCCGCACGTCGAGTGGGCATGGATGCCGACCTGGCAGTTCCGTGGTCGTCGTCGCCGTCTCGTCGCCGCCCGTCGTCTGGGCATGGTTGCCAGTATGGCGGCTCCATGGTCGCAGTCACCGCCCCGTCGCCGCCTCGCCGCCGCCCGTCCTCTGGGCCTGGCTGTCAACCTGGCGATTCCGTGGTCGCCATCGTCGCCCCGTCGCCGTCGCCGCCCGTCGTCTCCGCCTAGCTGCCTATTTGGCGGTTCTGTGGTCGACGTCGCCGCCCCGTCGCCGCCGAGATTGCACCACATGTTTCACACAACCAAAACGACCCCCCCCCGAAATTATCGGTACCCCTTCTCGTATTGCAATGTACATACGATTCTGCCCCATCGTCTTTCCTAAATATGAGTTCGTACAATCTCAGCCAGGCCGGTATCGACCCCCCCTGGTCATCCTCTGCAAACAAAACACTAAGCGCGCACTTCCGCTCATCAAAAATCGTCAGTTTGCAAGAACCCATTTAAAAAATCAAACGAAGTGCACAAGCGCGCGTTGCCGCACGCGCACGCCGAAATCCGTCAAAAACCTTCGGCGCCGTGAGGATTCAGAGATCGACCCTCCAGCAAACAAAAAAAAAAAAAAAACATGGTTTCGCAACACGGATTTTCAACCAACCAAAAAAATCGAGCGCGCGCTCTTGCAATTTCTTTCTTCTATGGAATAATGGAAACCCATCATTTTCATGAAATACTACCAACCGGGCTTCGCTAGCGATCGTATGTCGAAGTCGTTCGAAGGCCCTTGCGCGCGCGCAGTCACGAGAATCCTTTGCCCCACCAATAAAGGGCACACGCCCGCTTCGTCGCGCGCGCATGCCGGAGTCCGTAAAAAAAACCTTGGGTCGCGCATAAATGTCACAACCGGGTGTCGTCAAACCGCATTCAAACAATTTGTTTCGCAACATCAGTGCTCAACAAAAACCCTCCGCTTGCGCTCTTGCGATTCCGTCAGAGACAGATTTGTTTTTCACACTTTCATGGACTTCTGCCCAACGGGCCTCGCGTGCCGAATGCCAAAATCATTCGGACGCCCCTGCGCGCGTCTGGGGAGGGGCACGACCCGCGTCAGAAATTTCATGCGGGCCACTCTCGCGCGTCGGCCGCGCGTCCAAAACATTCAGCATCGACGCAAGGACGCCGTCATCATCGTCGGCGCGATCAGCATCGGCGCCGTCAGTGGCCGCGTCGTCGCTGTCAACATCGCCACCAGCTTCACTCCGACCAGCATCGTGTCCACTGTTGTCGCCATTGCCACGATACCGCGCGCGCTCTTGTGATCGCTTACGAATACATATGTTCTTTATTTTCAAACAATGATACCAAACGGTCTTCGCGCGCACGCATGTCAAAATCGCTCGGCAGCCCTTGCGCGCGCGCCGTCGCGAGAACCCTCGCGAAAACATGGCGCCGCAACATCAGTTGTCATAAAAGCGCGCGCGCCCTGGCAAATTCTGCAGAAAGAAAGCAAGGGGGGGAAAAAGAAGTAGAAGAAGAAGAAGAAGGGAAACAAAAAAAACGTTCTCAAGCAGTGTCATGGAATTCTGCCGAAAGGGCCTCTCGCGCTGCATGCCAAAATCACTCGCACGCCCTCGCGCGCGTGCTGGGGGGGGGGCACGATCAGTACCAAATCATACACGCGGGCCACTCTGTCGCCTCGGCCGCGCGCTTGCCGAACACTTCCCAGAACCTTCACCACCGATGCGAGGACGCCGTCATCGTCGTCGGCGTGATCAGCATGGGCGCCCGCACTGGAGGCGTCGTCGTCGTTGTCAACATCGCCACCAGCATCGCCACTACCATCATCGCATCTACCGTTCACGACATGGCTACGAGACCGCGCCCGCCCAAGTCGACGACTCGCACTGGAGTGACGGCTGGAATGCGCCCAGCAGTTAGCGCCGCCGCGGCCGCGTCAGTCGCGCCAAACTAGCTGGCCAGCGCGCGCTTGCTTGCTTGGGTTGGCGCTGGCGCCACAATACCGCGCCCGCCCATGCGCCCAGCGGTCTGCGCCACCGCGGCCGCGTCGGTCGCGCCAAACTAGCTGGACGCCGCGCGCGCGCATAGGAGAAGGCCCGCGCGGCCGTGGAGATGCAACAGCCAGCGCCAAGCACTCATCACAAGCGCCGCCGCAAAGGTTCTGCAAATCAAGTTGCGGACGGTCTGGTGGAATGGTTGCAAGATCAGGGACGACGTCAACTCGCTTGTCAAAACCGATTCTCCTTTCTTGAAAGAGAACAGACTCTACCCCCCGCCAGGGATTATCCGACCCCCTTCTCGCATTGCAATTTAAATTCTATGCTGCCCCATTGCCCACCCTGAGCAGGACTTCGTTCCATCCCAGCCCAACCGGCACCCCCCCGCCATCCCCTGGAAAAAACTACTACGCGCTCAGAAAAGTTTATCCAAAAATCTCCTTTTTCAGAAATCCCCTGCAATACAAATGGCACAACATGCACCCGCGCGCGTGGTCGCGCGCATGCCGAACTCCTTCCTCCATCTTCGGTCTCGTAAGGTTTTCGAGATCGAGCGCCCGCGGAAACATAGTAGCACAAGGCTTCGAAACACGGGTATGCAAAGCGAGCTTGCGCGCGCTCTTGCGAATTTAAAAATGTTATGAAATGCTTCATGTAATGCTACCAGACGGGCTTTGCGCGCACACGTCGAAATCGTTCGAAGGTGCTCGCGCGCGCGCCGTCGCGACAATATTATGGAGAAGGGAGAGAGCAATAAAAACAAACAAACAAAAACAAAAGAAAAAACCACACGCGCGCGTCGTCGCGCACGCATGAACTGGGGAGCCGGCGGTAAGCCGTCAACCTTGGTTACCGCCGGGAGTTCGTAGAGCTTCCTCCATATACATGAATGAACGCGGGCGCGGCAATCTCGCATTCTGCGCGCGCGAGGGCGCGATTTCATGGAGGAGGACGAGCAGGAGAACAAGGAGTGAGGAGAAGAAGGAGATCCACCCGGCCCGGGCGGAGAACGCGGGAACTCTGGGGCGGCTGGACGAATTTTGCGAGAGATTTGAGAATTCATTTTCACAACAGGTATTTTTCGCACCTGTAGTGGGCTATGCCGCGTCTGCCCGTCAAATTCTGCGGCCCGCAGCTGCAGGATTACGATCGGAACACTTGGAGCAACCGATGTGGCGCGAAACCCAAGAACAAACTTTGCGAGTTTTTTAAGCTGAGTTTCCAAGAAATTTTCTCTTCATAATCTAAGTACTTATTTGCGTGTTGAGAGCTCTACGAGGGCCCTGGCGGCAACCTGGTTGACGGTTTACCGCCGGCCCCCAGTCACGCCATAAGCACACGGACAGGCACGCGCATCACGCAATTGTCTAGCAGCATTTCTCCACTCATCAAAGATATGCGCATTCATAATGTGCACAAACTTGCACATACCTTTGCCAGGTTCCAGGAAACACGAAAAAACCTCTGCAGGGGGTGCAAGCCTCATACCGGAACGCACGCAGTGTTTCGCTCGCCACACAATCAGGCCCAGTCGCCCGCATCGCCTTCAGGCGGCTTCGCGCCCTATAAAGAACTGCCATGCTCATGCACTCCGCACACCGTCCATCCTTCAAAATGAACAGAGCCTGCTTCCTAGGTTTCTCCAACATCTCGACGCTCTCCTCTCTAACCTCCTCCGACGAAACCTTGCCAATAGACAGCTTCTCAATCACACGTCTCCACTCCTTCCTGCCCTCCGTCACCATCCCGTCTATCAGAAGGTGCTTGATGGAGTGGCGTCTCTTGCGCCTAAAGATGCAATGTTCCACTTCGCAGAGCTCTCGACGCTTCTCCTCGGACAGGGCCGGCACTGCACGGCATGCTTCTCTTTTCGACGCTGCAGCTCCGATGGATGGACACGCGGCAAACCTCGACCACCTTAGCCAATAGAAGTCATGAAGTTAAGATTATTGCCATTCGAGATACATCCCCAGGAGGACGCGACACAGTAAAATTTCCGAGAAAAATCGATACACCCGAGCCATATCTGATTCTTCCCTGTATCACATTTGAATCGAACGGGAGAGCGTTCCGAAGTCCAGGCGGCTTACTTCAATATCAGGTGCAAACACGAGGAATTTCTTCTCGTTATCAAAGAAAGTTGGTTACGCCAAGTATTTTGAGAGTAATACCAGCAGCAGACGCAGAAGGCATCTTTGAAGATGATAATGGTTT